ATAACTGGCTCTCAGAAGTATTTGCTAATGAGATTGTTTCAGAGATACTCTAGAGATAAAAGCCTTAGCATGTGATACTGACTCTTCAGAATGCCCACATTGAGAGCAAGCCAGTCACTATGGAACTTAGGGCCACCTCCTCTCCTGGGCACTTGTTCCCAAAACGGACCAAAACAAGATGCCCATGGCCTGAGTGCGTCTGACCTGTCATCTCAACTCCTGCTTCCCTCAGAGCCCAGTGCCACCATGTATTTCTTCCTGGACTCTTGGTGGACAGTTTCATTAATCTTATATATATATGATTAATTATTATATTAAATATTGTTATACATCATACATCATAATATGTAATATGTAATACATAATATAATGTAGTATGATAATATATACTATAATATCTAATAATTATTATATTACAATTATATATTATATTATATATTAAATATGATATGTAATAATTCTATTTTATATTTCACAATTATTATATATTATAATCATGTATAATATATGATTATATTATATATAATATATAATTATTATATTTTTAAATTATGGTATATAATAGATAATTATAACATATTATATTATTTGTATATATATCTTGCTACAGATTTCAAATGCCTGTCAGTAAAATACATAAAGAGGGTGCTTCAAAAAGTTTGTGGAAAAATAAAATTTAAGATAATACAGATCTTTCCACAAATTTTTTGGTATTGGGGGAGCTTTTTGGTGGCCGGCCAATGTGAGGATTCAAACCCCTGACCTTGGCATTATAACATCGTGTTCTAACCAGCTGAGCCAACTGGCCAACCCCTTCCATACACTTTTTGAAGCCTTCTCATATCTGAATAACAAGATCAGAAAATGGAAATATAAGATCAATGACCATATGGATGAAAGAAAAATAAATAGAAAAACTACCAACCAACCAACCAACAAAAAAACCTTATGTAATTACTAGAGCTGATCATTTAATGAAGTTCTGAACTCCCTGGAATCTGCAGAGAGATGGAAACCACCATGCCTCATGGAGTTCTCACGGCCTGATATTTGGTATCTTCCTTAAAATAAGTTACTGCCTTTGTTGGAGGACCACTGAGGATTTAAATGACTAACACATTGTTTTCAACAGAAATTTTATAGAAGAGGCAGAACGCTACACTATGCCTATTTTTTTTTTCGTTCAAAAAATGTTTGTTTAGAACCTATTACGTGCTAGGAAACGTCCTCGACTCTGAGATAAACAAGGTTGTCAAAGTTTCTGCTCCCACCAAACTCACGCTCAGGGGAGTGGGGCTGGAAGACACATGATGAGCGGAGGAACAGAAGAAACACACAAAGACCATCTCAGATGGTGTAAGTACAGTGAAGAGAGAAACAGGTTGATGAAACAGAAAGTGACTGAGAGGGAGTCTATTTGCATTGTATACTCAAGGGAGCCCTCTCGAGAGAGTGACGTTGTAACTGAGACCTGATTACAAGGAGTCAACTGAAGAAAAATCTGGGAGAAGAGCATTTGGACAGCGGGAAGAGCCCAGAAAGGCCCTAAGGCAGGAACTACCTTGTCAGTTTCAAAGGCTGGAGAAAAGATGGGGGGAGGAAGGCACAGCCCAGATGAGAGATTTTCCCAGTGCTCAGAGGCAGGGACACAGATCAGGTCATGCAGGGTCTAAAAAGGCCCTGGTATCAAAGGTTTGAATATAAGTCTAAATACAATGGAAAGCTTTTGAAGGGTTCCGAGTAAAGGGGATTGAGCTGATTTACAATTTACTAATCCCTTCCACTTTCTGGGACAAGAATTGATTATGTATGTGTTGGGGGAGAAAAGAGAGGAGGTAGAAGACTAAAACATTGTTGCCATAACCAGATGCAAGATGATGGGGCTTTGGATGATAGCAGAAACCGTGGAGCTGGGAGATGCTAACGGGCTGAGCATATATTTTGGGAGATGGAGAATTTTCTGATGCATTGCTTGCTTGAAGTCAGGGGGAGTGAGGAATTGGGATGGCTCCAATTTTTACTGATTTGAGAAACTAACCAAACAGAAGGAATATGTATATTTTAAACATCAGCTCTCCATGGAAGACAAGCAAGGATCATAATAGCTAACAAACTAGCAGCTGCGCCCCTTGCATGGCCTTGGGCAAGTTAATTAACTTTTATGCCTCAGATTCCTCATCAGTAAAATGTGATTACAATACAACCTGCCTCATAAAGTGGTTGTGAAAATTAAATGTCATGCAAGCAAAGCGCTTAGAAGTAATTAATTCAATAGAGCAGGGAACAGGAAACCGAGGCCTGTGGTTCAACCACCGACCAGTGCCCGTTCTTGTAAGTTAAATTTTATTGGAATACAGGCACACCCATTACTCTATGAATTGTCTGTGGCCGCTTGCAGGCTACAACAGCAGAGTTCAGTAAATGCAACAGAGACCACCTGGACTGTGAAGCCTGAAATATTTACTATGTGGTCCTTTACAGAAAAAGTTTGCTGACCTCTGAATCAGATAATTAAATAACTAATAATTTTTCAGGTAAAGTTCTTAGGTCAGTGCCTGGAACATCTACTTTAGGAAGGGGTATTTGTTTCTAGAGATGCTTCAATTAAAAATGAACTTTAAAATAAAAGGATATGAATCCCAGAAATAAAAATGTGAACACTCAATAGAAGTCGGCCTTTGTCATCATCCCATGTACAGTATATGATCTCATTTATCCCCAGCAGAGCAATGTAAAGTAGCTGTTTCTATCCCCCTTTTTAAAAAGAGTGTAAGTGACTACACAAGTGGCAAAGATGGAACTTAAACTCAGACCTCCTGCTGCCAAACCCGTCCTCTTCCCTCATCCCAAAGCTCAGCACTGGCTGGTACACAGGCCTGTCTTAACTTGTTCCCACTGGGTTTACTAGTTGCAAGACTCAACAGTTTTCTAACATGTTAGGAAATTGATACAAGTATGTACAAAATACTTAATATATTATCCCCTCCAAAATTTGATTCAGCAATTGCAATTAAAGAAAATCTTCGTTTTTAAACCAAAAGGAAAAATTGCTCCAAATAAGGACTAATAGCAAATTCAACATGAAAATATCTCCTACCTTGTGGCATTGGCGGTGATTCTTCAGTGTTCTCTGTAGGGAGGTGGGGGGGATTTGATGGCTGTTAGCACATAAAAGAGCTGATGGCAGTCAGTGTCATCCCTTCCTTGGCCACACTGAGTCCCACACGGTGGGAAAGAATATTCGCTAAACAGTCCAGCAAGTTATACAAACAATTTGCCAAGATTTTTCTTTGGCATCGTGGTAGGAATAATGTTTTTAACAGTAATCCCACCAGAAAAATGAAAATAGCAATCCTAGAGAATAACTAAAACCCTCATGACTGAGAAGAAAGGAAGGGAGAAAGCGGCCCAGTAGCACTGTCAGCTTAATGGTAAGATTATCTTCATGGCCCAGCAATGCAGAAACGGCAAATAGTGACTGCTCAAATATGACAATCGGATCTCTCCCACCATTTATTCCTTTATTATCTACCTATTACCTGCCAAGGCAGCTTCTAGAGTGAAAAATGTCAGGTTGATAAGACCAGAACATGAACTTACCTGATGCAGGCCTTAAGTACTCCATCTCTGTTAACATATAGGGGGAAAAAAGGATCTAGCCTAGGAAAGCGTATTTGTTTCTAGAGAGGCTTCAATTAAAAATGAATTTTAAAATAAAAGAATGTGAATCCCAGAAATAAAAATGCTGTCTCTCTCTGCCTTAGTTTGGGTGACTTGAATTACCCATCAAATGTATAAACGTTTATTGTCACAGTGTTTCACAATGCAGGTTCAGTCCAATTGTGGCTGTGCTGTGTCCACCGTGCAAATTCTGTAACGCCTCCAAACAGGAGGCAAATGCTTATCACACAAAGAAGTTAGGTGGAACCCAGGGGCTTTATAGAACAAACTGCTGAGATGGAATTCTAAACCAAACTAAATTAAAAAAAAAATCAAAGAATGGGGGGGAACAAAAACTAAATGAAAACCAAACCATCACACATGTGTGTGCACACTGACACACAGACACACACCAATATTTCAGACGTTTGAATTGACTTTAAAAGCTAATGGATCACGTTAGTATCATGTGGATACAGTCTTCCTCGTTAAATGCAAATGGAAATTTTGGTACCAAACTTCACTACTCTAGACCCACTAAACTAGTTCTTTTTTTCCCCATTTGTACATGATTTATGTCTCTAGCATTGGTGAGGATGTTGAATAGACACATGTGTGGTGAAAATTCATTTGTATATCTAGACCAGTGGTTCTCAACTGGGGGCAATTTGTTCCCCCAAGGGACATTTAGCAATGTCAAAAGATATTTTTGTTGTAACGACTGGGGGAGTGGGAACCAGAGATGCTGCAAAACAGCCCACAATGCCCAGGACAGCCCACACATGGCAAAGAGCAATCTAGCCCAAGATGTCAAGAGTGCTGAGACTGAGAAACCCTGGTCTAGACTGATCATTCTAATTACTGTTTGGCCAGAGACTTGTGATTAGCAATACATGACCTAAACTCACAAGCAGCCGGACAAACTAGTGCAACTTTAATTTATAAACTCCTTCATTAGACTTTAAAGTTGTAGTGAGAATGAGTTTTATTTCTTAGTTTACTAAAGTGTCCTGGAGAAAGGTAGAACACACCAGTGAGTGATTCACATCCCTGTTGACTTATGTTGTCTTTTCACCAGTCGTTTTGAAATCTAGTCCTTGCAATAGAACCACCAATATCTTCTCCGATTTCTCTCTGTATGAAATCCATTTAAACATCCTGTGACTAATAAATTCCTGAGCTCGAGTCTAAGCTCTCAAATTACCAATGTCTTTACTTTTGGCTCATGCAAGCGGTAGCGATGGTCTATGATTACGTAGGTGCAGGCATTGCCAGTGGGATTAGTGGAGCTGTAATCTGGATGATGAGATGTGTGCCTTTGGAGGGAGAAGTGGCCTTACCTGCACAGATGACACTGGCGTCTTCTCCGGGACCGCAGTTATGCAGGGACCAGCCAGCATGAGGACACTGTCCCAGAAAACTCTCTCTTCCTGTACAGTCCATGTCATCCAGCAGAAACTCGCCTTTGCCTTCGCCAAATTGAGCCTCCACAGGGGCTGCGAGGGCACGCCCACAGCTCAGCTGCCGGCACACCACATCACCTTCATTCATGTCCCATTGGTCATCGCAAACCCTGCCCCAGTGGCCGTGGTAGAAAACTTCCACACGCCCAGAGCATCTGCCTGACCCATTCACTAGTTGCAATTGTGGCCAGTCTTTTGGAGAAATAGAAAAATATTGCATTTTAGGAAAAGAAACATACTCTGCATCAACCCATTCATTCAAACATGCAACAAGTATTTATTGAGCACAGGCTGGGTTGCAGTGGATAGCACTGTGGATACCGTGGTTAACAGAACAGACCTGGGTCTTGCTATCACAGAATTTAGAATCTAGTCTGAGTGTCTGAAGAAAACAGTCACGTTAATCTAAAATTAAATGGGGATTTGTAGGTGTGTTACGTGCTAAGAAGCAAAGGAGGGATGTTTGTAATGTTTTGACAGTACACTACGGTATAGGGGTGGTGTTTGGGGATGTCTTTCTTAAGAAGTGACAATGGACCTGAGGCTTGGAGGAGGAGTAGGGAGGAGTTAAGTAGACAAAGAGAGATGGGGAGGAGGACAGAGCCTTCCTCTGTGCATCAAGAAAACGCAGAGGTTTATGAGTGAGGTGAATGCACCGGCATCCTCAGGTGAAACCATTCGGCTTGGTAGTATTTGCCTGGTTGGAGATCGGCCCACCACTTAGAAGCATGTGATCCACTGAGCCATATCAAATGAGGAGCTAGAAAACCATCACTTACCACCAGGAAATGGAGTTAGGATCTCAGCGTCTAAGAGCAGAGAGAAATAAATGAGATGTCATTGCTGTGCAAAATAGTCCACGCAAGTTTACTGAGCAAGCGTCAGCATGGATGTGATGGCCTTGTGGAGCGGACATGGAATGAAGGGCGTGCTTTGGGGAATGTACAGGGTAGGTTCTGGTCGGTGGCCAGCAAGAAATTGATTGTGTATTTGGGCAGCTCAGAGTCATTTACAAATTGTTCTTTTAAAACTGGATTATTTGTGTAAATGCATTTTCTACCAGAGAGGCAAAAGGGTCCAGTGCTTATAGAAGTGTATTTTTATGACACTCACAGAGGGACTCCTAAGGATGGGGTTATTGGAGGATTCAGCTCAACAAGAAAGGAAGGGCACGCTTTTCTCCATTAACCTCTGAATTTGCTAAATGAGGTCAAGGAGTGACACAGTGTCACTCGTAGTGACTGCAGCTTCACTTACTACCTTTCCAGCCTCAGAGTCATTATTCAGGTGTCTGAAGTTAGGATTTTCTTTAATCCAGTCTTAATTTAATTACATTTTTGAAGGATAATTTACAAAACTGTATTCATACCCTCAGTCCATAATTTTCTAAAATACATTTGGGTGACAAGAGTAAAACAGTCTGGGGAGACAACATTTCCCTGGTGGTCAAAGGCAGGGAAGCCACCTGTTTCACCTTTCCTTTGTTGAGTTCTTTTGATTAAATTCACTGTTTGTCTTCTGCCCCTCTCTCGACTCTTGCAACAGATTATGTTGGTAAATACAACCAGAGGACTGGGGGCATTTGTGAGTGTTCCGTTAAAGACATGCTGAAGTGTGATGCTTACCAAAAATTCCTGAAGTTTCATATTCATATTCTATGAGAAAGAAAAGAAAGTTGAATGTGACTTGAATCTACAAGAGATGATAAAAATTCTGGAATGCCCTGCACTTGCTCGAAGGGTCTGCTCTTACCCCACTGCTATGACCCTAGTGAAAAAGTTCAGCCTAAAATTGGTCTTAATGAGGGTTATTCCAAAAAGGTTTGGGGCATTGCTATCTTGGAAGAAATGACATTTTGACTATTTTCAATAGTTGTTGAAATACAAACTTCTTAGTCTAAATTCCGTATTCAGGAATAGCCCAGTACATTCAACGAGTGCTGGTTTTCTAAGTTTCTCATCCTGAGACTGGGGTAAAAGAGGTGCATCTTTTCATATTAAAATTAATATGGTTTTATTATAACTTGGAAGTAAAACTCTAAGTGATTTTTTAAGATGAAAAGATTTCAAAGGAGAGTCTCTGCTTAGGGCAGGCAACACTGGGCTGTGCTGTTTGGGGTATTTAAGAAACGTCAGAATGGGTTAATCCACTAACATCCCTTCTCTCACTCGTACAGTCAAATTTCCCCAATTAACATTCATTGACTTTCAGCGTCACCAGGAGGAAGTGCACTTGAGGAGGTGGAACAGGAGGCGTGAGTTTGATGACGTGGGAGGTAGGTCTCCAGTTAAAATAAATTAGGCCAGCTCAGCACAGGGATTTTCTGCGTCAGGGGAGCTTGCCAGGGCTTGGGGTGTGTGAGTGTGTGGGGGGGGCCTGCAGTGGGTGAGAGAGTAAGATTACTAACAGAATGTCAAAGACGGCTTGGATATTTGCAAATTTTGCCTAGATTCAGGGCAGTTTTTCCAGAGTGTAGGTGTATTTGGTGGGGGTAACAGAGCATGGGATGTGGAATCCAGAGTCCTAAATATTTTGTGTGACCTTGGTCAAGGCACTTAAACTTGACATTGACTTAACCTTATCTCAGAACTTCAGTTTATTTGCAAAATGGGATCATAAAACAAGCCCACCTGAGTTGTAAGGATGGAATGGGATAACGGACGGAAAGTGTTTAGAAAACTGCAAAGTTCTATGTGACCAGATGGGATTTACGCTTTGAGGCAGTCTCTTAGACAAAAGCCATTCAGAAATTTGATACACCTGGACTTGGAATATGGACTACCTGACATGCTAAGATTACGATGATTCAGTAAATCTTTCAAAATATCAAATTTGAAAGAAATTAGATTATCCCCCTCCCCAAAAAATGACAGAGTAAATTTAATCAACTTAAGTCAGTATTAGAAACAAAAACTAGATGGAAGCTAACACTTGGGGAAGGAGCTATCAGCAAATGTGCTTACATTACCAATGCAATTATTAATTAATTGTAAATTAATTAATAAATAACAAGTAATTATAAAATGAATAAATTCAACTGCACATGCTCTCCTAAAGCAGGGAGGGTTTATTAACCTCAGCACTATTGATATTTTGGGCTGGAAAATTCCTCGTGGTGGGGAACTGTGAATTGTAGGATGTTTAGAAGCATCTCTGACCTTTACCCATAGTTGCTAGTAGTACCCCTTAGAATATGACAATCAAAAGTGTCACCAGACAGTGCCCAGTGTCCCCTGGGGGGCAAAGTCACCTCCTGGTGAGAACAACCATTCAAAAGTATACTTGAAAAGTGTTTTAAAGTTCCCCTGAAATAATATTTACACTTACCGTAATTTTCTATCTTGTCTATTCTCCTATTCTGAGTCGTTCCCTTCCTCCCAAGGCCCAAAGGACATGCTACCTATGAGAGTGGCAGAGTCCTCTTTCCACACACCCAGGCTGTCTGGAGCAGCAGATGAGACGAAGGTAAATGCTACCTGGTCCTGCCCAGTCTGAGGACTCACAGGAAGGGCTTTGGAGAGCACGGGCACGGTTCATTCATAAGGTAGCAGCCAAGGGTCCAGGAGGTGGGAGGGGCTGGGGCTGCCTTTACCCTGCAGGCTGGTGAGACAGGCCTTGGGAATGACGGTCAGAGCTCTCGAGACAGAGCCACCTGCAGTAGGAAAGGTCTCAGCCATGTAGGGCTCCCGTGTCTGCAGTCACCAAGGGGGACAACTCTGCTGCATTCTGGTAGAAGCTGGCACATGGTGCAGTCTGCAAGTCAATGCCACACAACAGGGGCGTTTTGTTCACTGCTAGGTCTCCAAAGCCTCCACAATAAATACTTGTTGAATGCTTAGCTCTTGGCCACTGGATGATGGCTCCAAGCTGCTTCCCCACACGTTGGGTTTGGGAAGAACGAGCAGAGGAGTGGGGGAGAAACCTCCTCTGACTCGTGTGTCGGCCGCTGAGGAGCAAGGAGGGGGATCTTCCTCTTCCTCCTGACTCCACACCTCACCCCAGCATCCGAAGTCAGTTTACCAGCGACACGACTGCTCGGTCTCCAGGAGGTTGATTTCCTCAAAAAGCAGGAGGATCCGGTGCAGCCCCATGGGTAGCCCGCTTTTCAGACTATGCAGTGACAGGGTAACGGACCAGAATTACCAGGTGCCTCATCCTCACAGTGGTGCTGTGAAAGGTGTTATTGTCACTGTCATGACAATCATTCCCATTTCGTTAGATGCAGGCTAAATGATGGGCAAAAAGTCTCATCGAGCAGAAGGGGGAAAGGGGTGTGGGAAGAGGGCACCGTAGAGGAACAGCAGCAGGGGGCAGGGGGGCTTCTCCTGCAGTCCCACAGGCCCCAGCAGAAGGGCCCGCCCTCGCTTTAATGCCCTGCTGTCACGGTCTTGAAATTCCTAATAATCTTCGAAAAAGGGGACCCACATTTCATTCTGTAATGGGACCCACAAATAATGTAGCCTGTCTTGTGGCTGGGCTAAGACTTTTCATTTCCAGTCTAGCATGCTTTCCAATGTGATTACCTATAGCTTCTCAAATAGACACAAGAGGATTGGGGTCAGATTTAGGGTATTCAGCTGTTTCCTCGGTATCACAGTGGAGAAGGCTCCAGTGAGTGTCCTTGCTGGGAAGGATGGCTGAGGACCCGATCAGACAGGGGCTTTCGTACCCATCAAATGATATGTCACAAAGGCATTCTCTTGTGTCGGGAGAAAGGAGGAGACTCGGGGAATGACTGGAAATATGAAAAATCAGTTCTTGGAAAAGACAGAAAGAAATTTACCCGAGCAGATGACACCAGCGTCTTCCCCATGCCCACAGTTGTGGACAAGCCAGCCGGCGTGGGAGCACTGCCCCAGGTAGGCCTCGGTCCCAGAGCACTGCACGTCGTCCAGAAGAATGGGGTCAGAGCCCGGGCCGAAGTGGGCCTCTCCGGGGGCAGAGACGGCCGTCCCGCAGCCCAGCTGCCGGCACACCACCTGCGCTTCAGCCTCGTCCCATCGGTCGTCGCACACCGTGCCCCACACACCTTCAAAGTACACCTCGACTCGACCAGAACACCTTCCAGAACCTTCCACGAGCTGCACA